CATATCAGCAAGGCCCAGTTTTCAGTAGTTTACACTTCTAATGGACAACGATACAGAATTTGCAATTGCATGAACAGAATTAACCTGGACACATCCACTACACGGGGGAGGGACTGAGGAGACGTCCTGGCCACGCTCCCAGGGCTGGCCCACCCTGAGTGTGTGCCAGGGCAGAGCCCAGGGCTGCAGGAGCAGGGCTGAGGGTGCCCAGTGCCTCCAGCACCCAGGGGCACTGCTGGCCTTGGCTCTGCTCCACAGCTGCACCCGGGGCTGGATTTCAGGGTGGGCTTGTGGCTTTTTAGGGATGAAAAAGTCTTGGGGACAACACTCTCCAGACAGGGATTTCAGATGTCAGTGTTCTGATGGTGAAAAGGTCAAAGATTTTAAAAAATAAAGGCTTTTTTTTTTTTTTGGGACAATACAGTATTGCATAACTGAGGGAATGATGCTCTTGTGTTCCTAGATCCAGGTGAAATTCCAGCTGTGCTGTGGGTTTAGGAGCTGGGATTTGATTGTTCTCTGAGCAGGTACAAGAACTGCCTTGTTCTGTGATTGTTTCCACATCTCAAACCCCAAACCCCTCAGTTCTTCTCTAAGCCTGCCGTGTGAAATGCTCAGAAATAAATTATTTACCACAAGAACATTGATACTACAGCACAGCTTGTATTGCTTTTTCCAAAATAAAAATGCAATTATGACTCTGCTGCCTTCAGAAAATGGATAAAGCAGAGAATGCTCGTGGTGAGGGAGGAATGAGAGTCCTGGGGAGGTGAGGATGGCCAGAAATTCTCCTGTCACCTGCAGCAATTCGGGGTTTTGTGCCCCAAATGCTGACACTGCTCACAGGTTCCAAGGCTTAGGTTTATACACAGTGATCTCTTTGTGCCACCTGAAGTTAATTGTCATTGACAGTGCCAGCAGCACTGGAAAAACATCCACCCTGCTCCTGGTTTTCCTACTCATTTCCAAGTCTGGCTTGTATTTGATTCTGACTTTATTATTGCTTAAAAGGCTGTAAAACTCCTAACTGAGCTCCTGTTTCTGCTCAAAGCCATTCTTAGGGAAGTTTTTAGTGTGAGCAGCCTGGCAAAAGGTGAAAAACCTTAAAAATACAAAATAATCTGGGCATTGAAGTAGGGGAGGGGCCAAATTTTATTGCATCTGCCTAGAATATTGTACTAAAACAAAGTACAAACCACAGGTTAAAGGTTTCCCAAATCCTAAGTGTGGTTGTTGTTGTTGTTTTTTTTTTTTTTTCCCCTCATGCAGCTGTATTAAATCAGAATTCCAAATATTTGTGATTTTGACAGGAAAACTGTGGGGTTTTCTGACCTGAAAAGCCTAATAATGATAATAATGGTAACAATAATAATAATAATAATTGGAAGTTGCTGCTGGGTGGGGAGCAGAAGTGAGTTCTAAGGTGAAATTCCCATTCTGGATGTTATTTCAGAGGAGTTAAAATGCTTTGTGTGCATCCTGGCACAAAGAAATTCCCCAGAAATCTTCCAGGAGATGCAGGGCAGCCCTCCCTGTGCTCAGTGCAACAGGATGTTTGGGACATTTCCCTAAATTTTGCCTCACATTTATGGATGGTTGGTGTCAGAGAGGCTGCCTGTGTCCATGGATGCAACTCCACAGGCTTCAAAAAATGCAGGATTGGCCATGAAATATGCTTGGAAAAAAAGTGTTTTAAAAAGTTCCCTATTGCTCAGATCATTCCCAGAATCCCAGACTGGCTTGGGTTGGAAGGGACCTTAAAAACCCCCTCATTCCAGCTCCCTCAGGGCTGAGCAGAGCAGGCACAGGAGCTGCCCAAATCCAGGAAATCCACACATTTTCCCCTCAGGAATTGCCCTCAAACCTCTGTTTGTGGTTCTGGCAAGGCTCCAGCTGCACCCACCAGGTTTTGCTTCCCAGAGCACCCAGATTATCCTCCAGAGCTGGACTCAGCTGGAATTTTAAATTACCTCAGGAAAATCCAAATTTATCCACCTGCTCCCCTAAGCCTTGTCCAGTCAGCACTGGAAAAATAAAAGTAACGAAACTTCAGCTCATTATTAATTATCTGTACAGATCTTTTTCTCTGGGGGTTTTAGAAAGGCCATTTATGAATAGATTGGGCACAAGGGGCAGCAGCTCTGGGCTCTGCAGTGGCCAAATTCCAGCAGAACATTCTCACTTGGAATTTTGTTCAGAGGCCTAAAAGCCTGCTTCGGGGGATGAAAGGCTGGTGAGGTGTTTTTTCTGTAATATAATCACTGACTAAATGCTTCTCTGTGTAAAACAAGTATCAGCTACATTAGCAATAAATCCATATTATTTAAAGCAGGGCTGTCTGTATCCTGAGACACAAAATTCCCTTTTTTTTTTTTGAGGCTGTGGCGTTGGTGTTTCTGCAGCCAAGCTGATGCAGTGCTTCAATTCTGACTCCTGGATTCCAAAACCTTCACAACATTTTAAATTTCACCTCTGGAAATGGTTTCACCCTGCAACAGCAGCAGTGGGAGTGGAAATCCTTTATCCTGGGGGCTGCTGTGGGGTTTGTGGGAATGCCTCAGGCCAGCAGAAGGAGCCACGGTGCCACCAAGCTGGGGCCAGGCTGGGACATTCCAGCCCTGCCAGGAATTCCAGGAAGGACCCGAGGGATGGATGAACTCCACAGCAATCCCTGCTGCAGGCTGAGGGAATCCTCAGAGCATCCCAGGGGAGAGACTGGGACATCCCTGGGAGCAGCCCAGCTTGGGAACAGCCCAACTTGGGAGCAGCCCAGTTTGGGAACAGCCCAGTTTGGGAACAGCCCAATTCCCCAGAGCTGGGACATCCCTGGGAGCAGCCCAGCTTGGGAACAGCCCAACTTGGGAACAGCTCAGTTTGGGAACAGCCCAATTCCCCAGAGCTGGGACATCCCTGGGAACAGATGAATTTGGGAACAGCCCAATTCCAGAGCACTAGGAGCAGGAATGTCCCTGGAACAGCCCAATTTGGGAACAGCCCAATTCCCCGGAGCTGGGACATCCCTAGGAACAGCTGAATTCCTGACACTGGGACATTCCTGGGAACAGATGAATTTGGGAACAGCCCAATTCCAGAGTGCTGGGACATCTCTGGAACAGCCCCATTTGGGAACAGCCCAATTCCAGAGCACTGGGATGCCCCTGGAACAGCCCAGTTTGGGAACAGCCCAATCCCAGAGCACTGGGATGTCCCTGGAACAGCCCAGTTTGGGAACAGCCCAATTCCAGAGCACTGGGATGCCCCTGGAACAGCCCAGTTTGGGAGCAGCCCAGTTCCCCAGCGCTGGCTCAGCCTCGTGGTCCATCTGTCACCTCAGGCCACCTGAAGGTGCTCTTTGGCAGCCACTCCCTGTGCCCTGAGGCTCCGGCTGTCCCCAGGGGGATGGAGCCACCAAACGTGGCTGGGTGAGCAGGAGGAGCTCCCGGCTGTGCCCAAGGCAGCTCCCTGTTTTCGGGAGGAGAGCAGCGGGAAGGCTGGAGCCCTGCTGCCACAGCCACAGGGATGTTCCTGCACAGCACCTGCAGCCCTTCCCAGATGGAGGATGGATGGATGGAGTGTTAAGGCAGTGGGAGAGCCCTGCACTGGTCAGGTTGCATAAGCAATATGTACAAGGAGTTCACCCTGTCAGCCTCCAGCTGTGTCACGACAGAGTTTGGCACAAGTCAGCACCACTGGAAAGCTGGGAATGCCTCGATTCGGAGGGAAAGCTTCCAAACCTTCCAGCTGGGAGCACAGGTAGGCACTGCACGTGGATGTGGGAGACCACACAAAGCCTCTCACCTCCTTCAGTCCTTCCTCTTCAGACCTGAAGCAGCTGAAGCTCCTTTTCCAAAGCAATCAAAGCAAAAATTCCCTGGCTGAGCAGAGATCAGTGGCATGGGTGGCTCTGGCCAGGACAGCCCTGCCAGGGAGGGGAGAGCAAGCTGAAGGTGCTGAGCCAGTTCTTGCTGCAGCTGCAGCCACAGGGCTGGTTGGGATGTGCCTGAGGGACAGGGAATGATCCCGGAATGATGTGGAATGTTCCAGGCAAACCTGCAAACCCCTCCTGCCCTGCTGTGTTTGCCTGAATCCAGAGAGAGCTGCCCTGCCAGGGCTCCCTCCTGGCTGCAGCTCCTGCCAGCTCGTGTCCCTGGCTGTCCCAGGGCTGTGCTCAGAGCTCGTGGATCCCTCAGGAATGCTCCCTGCAGCCAGGAGCTCCCACCCCAGCTGGATGTGTGCTGTTTTCCTGGGCATGGCACACAAACATCCCTCTCCTTCAGGCTGGAATCCCTCTTTCCCCAGGGCAGCTGTGCCCTCCAAAGGGAAGGCACAAGGGGAACACTGAAGGGGACAGGGAAGGCAAACTCCACACACTGAGCTGCTCCCCCACTGCTGCTGTGCCACCCCAGCCCAGGATCCAGCATTCCCATGGAATCACCACCCAAGGGCTGACCCAGCTACCCAGAACAACTGCAGCAATTGGTACCAATTCCTGCTGGCTGCTCACCTGAACGCCTCAGCCAAGGTCAGGGAGCTCCCATCCCTGGGAAAGGGGCAGGACAGGCTGCCTGCCTGCTGGGCACTCCTCAGGGGCTCTGCCTGGAGTTCAGCACCAGTACAGGGCCCCAGACACGTTTTGGAAATACCACCAGAGCCAATTAAGGGCTGAAATCATCCCCAGAGAAATTAAAGGAGGGAAGTTTGTTGGGGGAGAGGTGACCTAGGGACAGAACAAGACAAAGATGGGGATTCCTTCTCGAGCAGAAGTTTGTGCTCTTTGATTTTTTGCCTTGAAAGACCCCCTCAGCACCTCCCCAGCATGGCTCAGCCCCACCCCAGACCCCTGCAGGTGAGCAGGGGGGCCAGGCAGCTGGGAAATGAGGAATATTGCCCTTTCCCAAGGAACAGGGAATCCATCACATCCCTGACCCAGCTCCGCACCCAAACACAGGCAGCCTCCATCACCCTCAAGACTTGAGCAGATTGTCCAGTACCACGTTCTAGGGAGATCCCAAGAACTTCTGTAAGGCAGGATAAAGATAAAGGAGCCATCCAAAATCCTGCCTGCCCTGTCCCTCTGCCATGACACAGCTGGTACCAGAGGTGCAGCAAACCCAAACTGTCCTCATTCCAACTTACAGCAGTCACAGATCCCAAAATACAATTAAATACTGAAAGTTAGAGCTAAACATACTTTTGAAAATCTAGATTTAACACAACCTTTCATCTCTACAGTGCATTGATGCTGCCTGGCATTTGCATGTCATCCCAAAAGCCCGTTCCAGAGGGGTCTGCCCTGGGATGAACACCACAAATCCATCTGCAGTGGTACAAGGAAGTCTTTCACAGGCTTGACTCCCAGCTAGGTAGCTCTGAGGAACGCCCTGCTTGGGTGAGGTTCCCAGCAGTCACCAGTGAAATTTCATTTTCTCTCACTTCACTTTCCAAGTCCATGCCACAGAAATAAGGTCAGGGTGATTCTCGGTGAAGGACAGACATTCTGCTACCACAGCTGAGCTCTGCTCCCATCCAGGAGGGTCAGAACTGCCAGGGTTTGGCTGAAGTTCACCACGAGTTGGTTTGGATACAATATGGCCTAGAAGAACTGTCCTAGAGTAATGCACAGCCTGAATAAACGTGGTAATTCAGGAGCTCTACCTACTCACATGCTTGGCAGGGGTTTGTTTCGGGGGGAGGCTGAACAAAGCGAGAGCCAGCAGTGGCAGCAGGCTGAGAGTTGGCTCCTCTTCCTCCTTCACGTCACAAACCCTTCTCCCACCCACCCCTACCACTGCAGGGCGCAGAGATGAGGAACATGAGAGCAGCCCCTGAGCAGTGGCACCCAGGAGGGAAAAGCAGCAGCACTGCCCTGAGCCAGCCTGGGGCTGGCACCCCAGCGGGGAGGAACCAAACCAAAACCCTTCACAGGATTCCTAAAGAAAAGTGAGAAACGGGAGGTTCCAGTCGCTTCCTAAGGAGCAGCGAGGGCACAGGGCAGGGACGGGGGACAAACTGGATTCTTGTGGTCGCTCAGCATGGATTTGTTGTATTGCTCCTTTTGTCAAGCCAAGAGCAGAGCCCAGAGAGATCCGCTGCCGCGGGAGAGCCCGCACGGCGTTCCTGGAGCTTCCTACCACGGACAAACTGTTCTGAGTCCTGAGCGGGCCCGGGGGCTCCTCACTGCTGCTCCTCTGCTTTGCTGCTATTCCTGAACTTCACCACCATGACTGTGATGTTGTCGGGGCAGCCTCTGTAGAAGGACTGCAGCACGATGCTCTTGGCCCCGAAGTGCGGCTCGTCCAGGCGCTCCTTGATGAACCGCACGGCCTCCTCGTTGCTGAAGGCGTCCCACAGCCCGTCCGAGGCCAGGATCATGAACTCTGGCTGCAGTTTGTCCAGGTCAAAGCTCAGGATGTCGGGGTCAGGGATCACCACGTTCAGGTTCTTCAGGGGGTAATCGCCCAGCGAGCGCGACATGGCCAGGATGCCCTGCACGCGCCACGAGCCGTTGAAGCTGATGAACCCACCTGGGGGGAAACAGCAAAATCAGCTGAAATCAGCTCTTTGGAACATCCAAGGAGCTCTTTGGAACATCCAAACAGCTCTTTGGAATGTCCAGGCAGCTCTTTGGAACATCTAAACAGCTCTTTGGGACATCCAAACTGCTCTTTGGAACGTCCAGGCAGCTCTTTGGAACACCCAAGAAGCTCTTCGGGAATCCAAGGAGCTCTTTGGGACATCCAAGGAGCTTTCTGGTTCCCACCAGATGCCCCCCAAAGTTTCATCCTGAGGGGTTACAGAGCTCAGAATGTGGCAGCTGATGCCTCAAGTTTTAGCTTTTGTATTTTTCAGGTTCTGTACTGCTTTAGTGTGTGGGTCTGGGTTCACATCAGGGCATGGTGAGCTCTGTGCACAGAGCAGGGACACAAAACAATTCCTGCTCCAGCTGGGCACCAAGGACAAATGATCCCAATCTCAGCCCAGGAGCACAAACCCCGTGGGCTGCAGAGAGAAAAACAAGCAGGGTGGGACTGCAGGGGCTGCAGTGGGATTGGACACTGAACTCCAATGTGATCTGCTGCCACCTCTGCCCTGTGGAATTTTCGGTGCAGAACAGGAGATTTGATCTGCTGATACCTCGGTCGGGCGCTTCCCACCCTCTCCCAGGGGAAATGTCAATTTTAGTGACAGATAAAAGCTGAACCTTCCAACAACTCACCGGCTCTCTTAATCCTCTTCCTCTCCTTCAGCTGGTAGGGCTTGTGGTCGTGGGACAGGGGGATGGCATTGCCATCCTTGTCGCAGAGCACGCCGCGGGAGTCGCCCACGTTGGCCACGGTCAGCTCCTTGTCGGACAGGAGGGCGATCAGACACGTGGTGCCTGCAGCAACACCAGGGTGGGGGCACAGAACCACAGGGGATGGTTTTAGATGTGAAAATAAATGGTATTTCTGCCACGAAATGGATATCCCTCATCAGCAGGGAAATGTTCCTGTCACGGAATGCCAGGGTGGCTGAGGTGGGAAACACTTCCAAGACTGGGGAAGTCCCAGCTGTGACCCCCTGAGCACTGAGCCCGCCTTAAAATGGGAGGAATATTTCCATTTTCTCATTTCTCATCTCCTTTCCAGTTCCCATCTTCCCCTTCCTGCTCCCTCACCCAAACCCAGCCAATACCAGCTAAAAAACCCATTCTGGGGCTGGCTCCTGGCTCTGCATGCAATCCCCAAATATCAATATCTCCAGGACTGCTTGACAGCAGGGAAAAATGAATTCCATCTCTTTTTTTTTGTTGTGCAGTAATGAAACTCAATTTTTTCAGGACTCCTGGGGAAGAAGGGCCATCCATTAAGGAAAAAAACATTTCCCACAGGACAAAACCAGCTCCAGAACCTCCCAGCAAGGCTGGAATTCCCTGGAACATTGGAATTGAATGGCAGAATGCTTTCAAATAACCAAAATTTGTCACAGATCAGGCACTGACCACCTCAGATGTTTAGGGACACTGTAAATCAAAGGAATGGGATTAAGAGCCAGCAAAGCTTTGTTGGGAGAAAATTTTCTTGCACAAAATTACCCCCGCCTTAGCTAGTCAAGAATGCCACTTTTTAAACTAAAGGATTTACAGATTAGGAGAGGATTTGTCCCCATCTGTCACTTTTGACCTCCTTTCATTTTTTAAAGCTTCCTTACTCAAACCTCACAGAAAAATCTTGCCAGCACTTGACTATTTCCAGACAAACTCATTTTATTTGTAGCTGTGATGGATTGATTTCCTGAAGGGAAAGATTCACAAAAAGAGGGGAAGATCCACATTGGGATGTGGAATCCATCAAGGCTGCACTTTACTAACACTGGATGTTGCCAGAAAGGCCAAATTAACACCCAAAATTGTGCCAAAGCCAGAGCATTTCAGCTTTACTCTGGGAAATGCTGCAGCTGAACTCGAGCCACTTTGGGAGGAGGAAGGATTTACCTGGGGGTGCAAAATGCTCCTTCCAGAAGGGATGGGAAAGGTTTCCTGGCTGGAAAAAACGTGGAAGTGCTTCCTGTGCACCAGAGCCAGCCACAATCAGTGTGGGAGCACTGAGAGCCCCCCAGCACCTCCTGAGGCAGCTTCCCTGGCTGGAATTCCACCTGCTCATCATTATTCAGAGATGAAACCCTGGCAGGGCTCCAGGACGGCTCTGGGTGATCCCTCACATCACCCCTGCCAGACAAAATTGTATTTTCTCCCCTTTCACCACCATCACTTCTATTTTGCCAATTTTGAAGGATTGTTTCCCTCACTCTTTGTACCCCACCAGCAGCTGGAGTTCCTAATTCAGTTGATTTTGCTGGAAAAAAAAGCCAAAAAAAGGGAAAATGTCACCAGCAAGGGCTGGAGCAGCCAGGATCACCAGCAGCTGCTGTAATTATATTTAACTGCCCATTTTCTGTGTTTTGCTCACAATCAGCTCTCGCTCCAAGGGCAGGTAGAGCCATTTCTGCCTTTCTCAGAAATAAGGGACACAATTAGGAGGATGAGGGGCTGCACTGCTGTGTTTTCATCTCTGATGAAGCTGGAATTTCGGGCTTTCATTTACAGCTGTGCTGCTGGGAATTTTCTAAACCAGTTATTACGGAGCTTCTCATTTCCACACGATTTTTGCTGGATGAGATCAGTCCCCAGATATGTGTTTCAAGCAGTTTTAATCTTTATTTTTGCCATACAAACACTGAGATTTCCGTAAAGGAAAAAGCTTGCTTTTCCTTCTGACAGGAATCAGTAATTTCCCTGCATTTTCTCCTCCCTAACAAACTCCTTTAAATGAAAATAAGTGGAGAGGAGCTGGAGTGACCAAACTAAGGGAAAAAAAAAATTTACAGGATTTTGGGAAATTCTGTGTGAGAAAAGATCAACAGAGGTGACAGAAAGCAACAAATTTTGAAGCTTCTTTTTTATGCATCATTAAAAGCAAGCCATATGTGATGAAAGAAATATTCTGCACCCACATTTGACCTCTGCTGGCCCTTGAGAGCCCACAAGCCAAGCCCCTGGAGCGAGGTGTATTTTGCAGAAGGATCTAAAAGCTGGAAGGCATTTCTGATTGCTTGAAAAGAAAATGCTAGGAAAAGTGTCAGATCTGCAAACTGGGAGTTTGCTGTTAAAAAAGCCCCCAAAACTGCCTGGGTTTGGCTGCCCATGGCCTCGTGTCAGGTTTAAAATCAGCTTTTGTGCCTGCCCAGTGCTGGGAATGCCCAAAAATCAGGAATTTGTGGAGGAGAAAAGAGCAAAAACCAATGGAGAGACCCAGGAGATCCATCAACAGCAGAGCACAAAGTGTCCCCTCAGCTCCTGGGCATCCCAGCACCCTGGAGGGACAAGTCCCAGCCAGCCTGGCTCCAGGAAAAACAAATATTTCACCAAAATGAGGATAAAAAACTGAACCTGCGCAAGGGCTTTGGGGGAAGACTGAAAATGAACAATTTTTGGGGGCAGAAAAATGGGAATTCTAAGGAATCATTTCAGGAGGAACACATTTCACAAAAATGAGGACAAGAGTTCAAGGGGTTTGGGGAAGGACTGAAAATGAGCAATGTTTTGCACAGAAAAATGAGAATTCTAAGGAAGCACTTCAGGAGGAACAAATATTTCACAAAAACGAGGACAAAAGCTGAACCTGCACAAGGGGTTTGGGGAAGGACTGAGAATGAGCCATTTTTTGGAGCAGTAAAATGAGAATTATAAGGATCCACTTCAGAAGGAACAAATATTTCACAAAAACAAGGGAAAGACTGAAAATGAAAAAAAAAAAACGGCAGAAAAATGAGAATTCTAAGGAACCACTTGAGGAGGAACAAAAACCAGGACAAAAAGCTCAACCTGCACAAGGAGTTTGAGGACACAAGCCATCTTTGGAGCAGGAAAATGAGAATTCTGAGGAACCACTTCAGGAAGAACAAACATTTCAGAAAAACAGTGAGAAAAGCAGAAGTGGTTTGTGGAAGGACTGAAAATGATCAATTTTTTGGCAGTAAAATGAGAATTATGAGGAACCACTTGAGGAGGAACAAAGATATCAGGAAAACAAGGGAAAGACTGAAGGGGTTTGGGGAAGGACTGAAAATGAGCCATTTTTTGGGGCAGAAAAATGAGAATTATGAGGAATCAGTTGAGGAAGAACAAACATCTCTACAAGAACAAGGACTAAAGTTCAAGGTCTTTGGGGAAATGACCCAATTTTTAGGGCAGTACAATGAGAATTGTGAGGAACCAGTTGAGGAGGAACAAACACCTCACAAAAACGAGGACTAAAGCTCAAGATGTTTGGGGAAATGAGTGATTTTTATGGCAGTGAAATGAGAATTGTGAGGAGCCACTTGAGAAGGAACAACCATTTCACAAAAACAAGGAGAAAACTGAAGGGGTTTGGGGAAGGACTGAAAATGAGCCATTTTTTGGGGCAGTACAATGAGAATTGTGAGGAACCACTTGAGGAGGAACAAACATCTCACAAAAACAAAGTGAGCCATTTTTGGGGCAGCAAAATGAGAATTGTGAGGAACCACTTGAGGAAAAACAAACATCTCTACAAAAACAAGGACTAAAGTTCAAGGTGTTTGGGGAAACGAGTGATTTTTGGGGCAGTAAAATGAGAATTATGAGGAGCCACTTGAGGAGGAGCAACCATTTCAGTAAAACAAGGAGAAAACTGAACGGGTTTGGGGAAGGACTGAAAATGAGCCATTTTTTGGGGCAGTACAATGAGAATTGTGAGGAACCACTTGAGGAGGAACAAACATCTCACAAAAACAAGGACTAAAGTTCAAGGTGTTTGGGGAAACGAGTGATTTTTATGGCAGTAAAATGAGAATTATGAGGAACCACTTCAGTAGGAATAAACATTTCACAGGACAAGGAAAAAAGATCAACCTGCACAAGGTGTTTGGGGAAGGACTGAAGACGAGCATTTGTGGGGCGGAAATTACGAATTGTGAGGAACCACTTGAGGAAGAACAAACATCTCACAAAAACAAGGAGAAAAGTTCAAGGTGTTTGGGGAAATGATTCGTTTTTTGGGGCAGTAAAATGAAAATTCTGAGGAACCACTTGAGAAGGAACAACCATTTCACAAAAGCAAGGAGAAAACTGAAGTGATTTGGGGAATGACTGAAAATGAGCCATTTTTTGGGGCAGAAAAATGAGAATTATGAGGAACCACTTGAGAAGGAACAACCATTTCACAAAAGCAAGGAGAAAACTGAAGTGATTTGGGGAATGACTGAAAATGAGCCATTTTTTGGGGCAGAAAAATGAGAATTATGAGGAACCACTTGAGAAGGAACAACCATTTCACAAAAGCAAGGAGAAAACTGAAGTGATTTGGGGAATGACTGAAAATGAGCCATTTTTTGGGGCAGAAAAATGAGAATTATGAGGAACCACTTGAGAAGGAACAACCATTTCACAAAAGCAAGGAGAAAACTGAAGTGATTTGGGGAATGACTGAAAATGAGCCATTTTTTGGGGCAGAAAAATGAGAATTATGAGGAACCACTTGAGAAGGAACAACCATTTCACAAAAACAAGGGAAAGACTGAAGGGGTTTGGGGATGGGCTGAAAATGACCCATTTTTGGGGCAGCAAAATGAGAATGGTGAGGTGGCCCAGCCGTACCTGCCTCGTCGTAGGACACGGTGAGCTTCTCCAGCATCTCCCTGTCGATGGAGAGGATCTGCTGCTCCAGGATGCTGGCAGTAAAATGAGAATTATGAGGAACCACTTCAGTAGGAATAAACATTTCACAGGACAAGGAAAAAAGATCAACCTGCACAAGGTGTTTGGGGAAGGACTGAAGACGAGCATTTGTGGGGCGGAAATTACGAATTGTGAGGAACCACTTGAGAAGGAACAACCATTTCACAAAAGCAAGGAGAAAACTGAAGTGATTTGGGGAATGACTGAAAATGAGCCATTTTTTGGGGCAGAAAAATGAGAATTATGAGGAATCAGTTGAGGAAGAACAAACATCTCACAAAAACAAGGACTAAAGTTCAAGGTCTTTGGGGAAATGACCCAATTTTTAGGGCAGTACAATGAGAATTGTGAGGAACCAGTTGAGGAGGAACAAACACCTCACAAAAACGAGGACTAAAGCTCAAGATGTTTGGGGAAATGAGTGATTTTTATGGCAGTGAAATGAGAATTGTGAGGAGCCACTTGAGAAGGAACAACCATTTCACAAAAACAAGGAGAAAACTGAAGGGGTTTGGGGAAGGACTGAAAATGAGCCATTTTTTGGGGCAGTACAATGAGAATTGTGAGGAACCACTTGAGGAGGAACAAACATCTCACAAAAACAAGGACTAAAGTTCAAGGTGTTTGGGGAAACGAGTGATTTTTATGGCAGTAAAATGAGAATTATGAGGAACCACTTCAGTAGGAATAAACATTTCACAGGACAAGGAAAAAAGATCAACCTGCACAAGGTGTTTGGGGAAGGACTGAAGACGAGCATTTGTGGGGCGGAAATTACGAATTGTGAGGAACCACTTGAGAAGGAACAACCATTTCAAAAAACAAGGAGAAAACTGAAGGGGTTTGGGGAAGGACTGAAAGTGAGCCATTTTTGGGGCAGTAAAATGAGAATTATGAGGAACCACTTGAGAAGGAACAACCATTTCACAAAAGCAAGGAGAAAACTGAAGTGATTTGGGGAATGACTGAAAATGAGCCATTTTTTGGGGCAGAAAAATGAGAATTATGAGGAATCAGTTGAGGAAGAACAAACATCTCTACAAGAAGCTCAAGATGTTTGGGGAAATGATCTGTTTTTTGGGGCAGTAAAATGAGAATTCTGAGGAACCACTTGTGAAGGAACAACCATTTCACAAAAACAAGGAGAAAACTGAAGGGGTTTGGGGAAGGACTGAAAGTGAGCCATTTTTGGGACAGCAAAATGAGAACTGTGAGGAACCATTTGAGAACCTGCCTCGTCGTAGGACACGGTGAGCTTCTCCAGCATCTCCCTGTCGATGGAGAGGATCTGCTGCTCCAGGATGCTCTGGTAGGACAGCACGCTGTTCTCCTTGTCGCGCTCGTAGTCCTGCAGGTGCTGCTTCAGCACCTCGGGCAGCCGCGCCTTCACGTACTCCGCGGCGGACTGCGGCACAGAGCGCGGCAATTAACCCCGGCGTTAATTGACATTAATTAACACCCAGCAGATCCCCCCGCAGTCCCCAGCTGCGCACCCACAGCGCACCCACGGCGGCACGGGTCTTTGGAAATTTATACTAAAGTTTGTATTAAATTTATACTAAAACTTATACTAAATTTTAAAGCGTCACGTGGAAAAGCGGGAATGAAATTTAATGTGTAAAATTTAATTTAAAAATAATTTGTTCTGAATTTTATTCTAAATTTTTAAGGACAAACTGGTAAAGCCTAATCCAATTTAATGTGTTTATTCTGAATTTTTATTCTAAATTTTAAAATGCCACGTGACAAAGGGAAATCAAATTTAATGTGTTTATTCTGAATTTTTATTCTAAATTTTAAAAGGACAAACTGGCAAAGCAGAATCAAATTTAGTGTGTTTATTCTGAATTTTTATTTCTAAATTTTTTATACTAAATTTTAAATCATCACGTGGAAAGTGGAATAAAAAATAATGCGTTTATTGTGAATTTTTATTCTAAATTTTTAAGGACAAACTGGTAAAGCCTAATCCAATTTAATGTGTTTATTCTGAATTTTTAAGAACAAACTTGCAAAGCAGAATCAAATTTAATGTGTTTATTCTGAATTTTTATTTCTAAATTATTTTATACTAAATTTTAAAGCATCACGTGGAAAAGTGGAATAAAATTTAATGTGATTATTCTGAATTTTTATTCTCATTTTTTAAGGACAAACTGGCAAAGCAGAATGAAAATTAATGCGTTTTTTCTGAATTTTTGTTCTAAATTTTTAAGAGCAGATCCCCCCGCAGTCCCCAGCTGCGCACCCACAGCGCACCCACGGCGGCACGGGTCTTTGGAAATTTATACTACAGTTTGTATTAAATTTATGCTAAATTTATGCTAAATTTATTCTAAATTTTAAAGCGTCACGTGGAAAAGCGGGAATGAAATTTAATGTGTAAAATTTAATTTAAAAATAATTTGTTCTGAATTTTATTCTAAATTTTTAAGGACAAACTGGCAAAGCAGAATCAAATTTAATGTGTTTATTCTGAATTTTTATTTCTAAATTTTTAAGGACAAACTGGCAAAGCAGAATCAAATTTAATGTGTTTATTCTGAATTTTTATTTCTAAATTTTTAAGGACAAACTGGCAAAGCAGAATCAAATTTAATGTGTTTATTCTGAATTTTTATTTCTAAATTTTTTATACTAAATTTTAAATCATCACGTGGAAAGTGGAATAAAAAATAATGCGTTTATTGTGAATTTTTATTCTAAATTTTTAAGGACAAACTGGTAAAGCCTAATCCAATTTAATGTGTTTATTCTGAATTTTTAAGAACAAACTTGCAAAGCAGAATCAAATTTAATGTGTTTATTCTGAATTTTTATTTCTAAATTATTTTATACTAAATTTTAAAGCATCACGTGGAAAAGTGGAATAAAATTTAATGTGATTATTCTGAATTTTTATTCTCATTTTTTAAGGACAAACTGGCAAAGCAGAATGAAAATTAATGCGTTTTTTCTGAATTTTTGTTCTAAATTTTTAAGAACAAACTGGCAAAGCAGAATCAAATTTAATGTGTTTATTCTGAATTTTTATTCTAAATTTTTTAGGACAAATTGGCAAAGTGAAATCAAATTTAATGTGTTTATTCCGAATTTTTATTTCTAAATTTTTTATACTAAATTTTAAAGCATCATATGGCAAAGGGAAATCAAATTCAATGTATTTATTCTAAATTTTTAAGGACAAAATGGCAAAGCAGAATCAAATTTAATGTGTTTATTCTAAATTTTTAGTCCTAATTTTTTTATACTAAATTTTAAAGTGCCACATAGAAAAGTGGAATCAAATTAAATGTGTTTATACGAAATTTTTGTTCTAAATTTTTGAGCACCAACTGGCAAAGCGGAATCAAAATTAATGTGTTTATTCTAAATTTTTATTTTGTATTTTAAAGCACCAACTGGCAAAGTAGAATAAAATTTAAAATGTTTATTATAAATTTTTATTCTAAATTTAAAGCACCATGTGGCAAAATGAAATCAAGTTTAATAGGTTTATTCTAAATTTTAAAGCACAAAGTCACAGAGCGGAATCAGATTCAATGTGTTCATTCTAAATTTTTATTCTAAATTTTAAAGTGCCACGTGACAAAGGGAAATCAAATTTAATGTGTTTGCTCTAAATCTTAAATCACCGCGTGGCAAAGTGACATAAAATTTAATGTGTTTATTCTAAATTTTAAAGCACCACGTGGCAGAGCAGAATCAAACTCAATCTGTTTTGTTTTTTTTTTAAAACATTTGAAAGCACAGAGTGGAATCACCAGGCCACAAATATTGATATACACAAACCCCAAAAATTCCTTTAATTCCCTGCTGGGGATTGGAGCGGAGGGAATTGACACAAGGGGGCACGGTTGGGCTGACGGTGGAGCTGTGGAAAGCTGGAGTAAGGCTGGAGTAACCTCTGAGAACCTCTGGGATCAGCTGCAGGGCTGACTCCTGATTTCCAGCACCCCCTGGGATTACCCCCTGGGACAGGGAACAGAAATTCCCTTTTTCTGGCACAGAAATGTGATTTGGTAATTAATTTACCAGCTTTAATTTGGGTTTTTTCAGCTTTAATTTGGTTTTTTTTCAGCTTTCCCTCCCTGACACAGCAGCAAGGGCTCTGTGCTCCAGTTTTCAAGTAAAAAAAAATATAAATAAGTGATAATAAAGTTGTTTTATTCCAGGTTTGGGAGTGAGCAGAAGTCCCCCCATTTCAGCTCCAGGCTCTTCCTGGGCTTATATTTCATTTTCTGAAGTCAATCAGAGCTTAAATTGCAATCCCAAAATATCCCTGGGGTCGTGTTCCACGTTCCTGCACGCTGATCCCGTGTGGGAATTTCTCCTGGAAAACCAACGGAACTGCCCACACCAGCACAGGCTAATTAATGAATTATTAATTACCATGACATCTGAAGAGCTGGTTTTTCCCCAGCAAGGCCAGAAGGCACATTGCACACGGATTATTTTATCCCAAATCCAGGAATTCCTGTTTCACGTGAGAACAGATTTGTTCTCTTGGATTTTTGGGGGGATTTTTGTGCTCCTGGGGAACACCTGAGCTCTCAGGAATTTGATTTTTCCAGTTTTCCTCCTCATCACCCCACGGGAAAGAATTCCATGGCCACTTGTGTAAAACTGGAACTCCAGCATCCCCTGGGAATCTGCTTTTCCAGTCTGAAGCAAATGAAATAAAGGATTGACTTTAATACCTTAATTGACTTGAGGGTATTTCGTCCTACCATGGAAAATTAATATTTCATATGGAGAGAATATATTGTAAAATATCTACAATGAGAATAGATTGTACAATATCTACAAATATACTTGCAGAGATTATTAACCACAAAAGTCCCATTTTTCTCTGCTCACTAAAAAGCCCCCCCGATATAAAAATCCCACCAGGAATTGCTGAAATCCCTCATTCTTCAGCAACCTGAACCCAAATTTGCCCACAGTTTTTAACTGATGGGAAAAAAACCCCATTCAAAGCAAATTTTCCTTTTGTAAATGATGCTGAAATTTGCACTTTTAGCTTTTTCTGGGAGCTCCTTTGTACAGGTGGGGAGGAAAGGTCTAAAATGTTCATTGTGGGACAATGCCTTCAATTCCCGTTCCTTTCCCAAGGGAATTTTTCCTTTAGCACCAAATTTTGGTGCATTAAGTCATTTGCAGATGCTCCCCCAGCAAACGAGTGCAATTCCTCTGGATTTATCAATTATTTATGGATAATTCCATCAAAGATCGGAGAAGTCTCAGGACAATTTTCCAAGTGAACACACCAAGTCAACAATTTCTGTTTATCCTCAATGGGCACAGACTGAAATGCAGAAAATTCCATTGAAACTTAAATAAAAAGGTTTTTTTTCTGGTCAAACAGGGTGCCCTGAGAGGCTGCGGAGTCACCAAATTTCCCACATCTGATATGGAAATATCAAACCCCAGCTGGGCTGGGTTATCCCACCCTGAACATTTGACAACCACACACACCCCCCCAAAATTAAGAATATAATGAGTAATGAGAGTAATCCTGCAGCAAAAAGAAAAGCATCAGCATTTAAACTGTACACAAACCCTGAATCTTAATTAGAAAGTCTATTTTAGGAGAAAAATCAGGATTAGTGGGGAAATGGAAGTGCAAATGAGGCCCAGAGCAGGTGCTTGGTACAAGTCCTGGCAGCTCTGCCACGCGGGGAGCTGGAGCTGCTTTAGGGGGGATGGGTCCCACAAAAATTCTGGCAAACACCACGAGGAAAAGACCTTCATGTCTAATATTTGAGTTTTCCAAAGGTCTCGGTTTAGTTATGGCACAAAGCAAAATGGGTGTGATTGAAGTGCTAAAAAAAATTAGGGATGTCAAGATTTCACCTGATTTTGATGCTAATTGGGTGGAACTATTAACGGAGATGAGCTGAATATGGAATGAAGGTCTGTAAAAAAAAGGATTTAAATGCCTGAAAAGACTTGGCCATCACCAGGTAACAATGTAGAAAAACCCAGGTCCCAAATTAAATTTTTTTTCCTAAATTTTGTGAGCAGGGATTGCATTTGAAGGCCAGCCAGGAGCATTTCACCCAAGCGGGATTAACTGAACTATTTTTTATATCCCTGTAATCAAATCTAAGCAAAAGGGGTCATTTTTTACATTGGCATAAACAGGCAGAAGAGAGAGGAAGAGCAATAACCCTAAAAATAATGCTCAGAGTGTCATAAACCCTCTGCATTTACACAGGTGTTGAACTGCTCGTTTTTTGATACAGCAAAATGCTGCATTTTGGATTTCACTGAGCTCATCAAGTTCAGCACTGAAGGTAAAAAAATAAAAGGAGGTTTGCAAAATGACTCAAGTCGAAATGACATTTCCAACTCTGTAACCCTGCATCAACACAGCCCCTGAACTGAAAGCTTTTATTAGGA